ATAAACCACCTGGCTATAGGGTATGTTTTCATTATCATCCTGTTTCACATACAGGATATGTTAATATTGTTGTAAACACATTTTCACCACCAGAAGCTATCTAAGTACTTAAAACAAAGAAAACTACTTTAACCTTTTCAACACGCTAACATGAGTTTTTTCGGACTGAATGCAGCTGAGATCGACAATCCAGCCACCACTAATCCGGTTGTTTACCGGTTGTTTAAGGGAACAGGTTAACCCTTTTTGTTTTTGCTAAATATGTACGGAAACCTCGCCGTATCACAATCATGTCACTACATGTATGGGTTACAGATAATGTACTTATATATCGAAAATATCGAAATAACAGAGGCTCCGATGATAGCTTTAGTGTCTGGGTTATCGGTTTCAATGAAGTAGTAAGCGGTTACGATGATACAGTAAACGTATAAAGCTGTACCGTTATTTTGCTTTAATGTTATCAATACAAATGGCGACTATAATGTGTTAGGTACACTTGTATTTATGTTTACCTGGTGTGATGTAACTATAACTGGTGTCTATGTGTCTTTATGTGTGTAGATATATGTGTACCTATACTTATACACATGTATAATTGTTTAACTGATGTGATGTAACTATAACAGGTGTCTATGTGTCTTTGTGTGTTTAGTTGAATGTGTACCTATACTAATACATCTGTATTTATGTTTATCTGATGTGATGTAAATATAACAGATATCTATGTGTCTTTGTGTGTGTAGATGTATGTGTACCTATACTAATACGCCTGTATTTATGTTTACCTGATGTGATGTAAATATAACAGATATCTATGTGTCTTTGTGTGTGTAGATGTATGTGTAGCTATACTAATACGCCTGTATTTATGTTTACGTGGTGTGATGTAAATATAACAGGTATCTATGTGTCTTTGTGTGTGTAGATGAATGTATACCTATACTAATACATCTGTATCTTTGTTTACTTGGTACTATATAAATATAACAGATATCTATGTGTCTTTCTGTGTGTAGATATATGTTTACCTATACTAATACACATGTATCTATGTTTACCTGGTATGCTGTAACTATAACAGGTATCTATGTGTCTTTGTGTGTGTAGATATATGTGTACCTATACTAATACACATGTATCTATGTTTACCTGGTATGCTGTAACTATAACAGGTATCTGTGTGTCTTTGTGTGTGTAGATATATGTGTACCTATACTAATACACATGTATCTATGTTTACCTGGTGTGATGTAACTTTTACAGATATCAATGTGTCTTTGTGTGTGTAGATATATGTGTACCTATACTAATACACTTGTTTCTATGTTTAAAATTGTGTGATCTAAATATAAAAGCGATACTATTCCTGATTGAATATCTAATGGCAATTTCTGTTTGCAATACCCTATATGTATAAGTCTTTTCTATATACGCTGTAATATAGGATAAATTTGACAAACGCAATTTACATGCCTACGTTTTACTTCCTAATTATTGTATTCCTCTGTTATTTTAGCTTTCCAATTATATCTCTAATTTCTTTTTTCTACTTTCTGAGCAGTTGGCATTCAGGATTGGTGTTGATGACAACTTGTTAAATCATCCAACTCGAATTCTAATAAGTCATTTCAATAACTATATCTTCTCTTTTTTATGCGCAGTTTCAACACTTGAAAACATCTATGTATGTGATAGAAGTAAACTGTTTGAACCATTCTGGGTTTTTTCCATTAACAATAGGTTAAGGCACTCATGTATTACTTTTTTTTATATATATAATATAGTCACAAAGTAGGTTTATGAATAGTGATGTTAATAGTTTTAATTCTAATACAGCTCTAAAGTATAATCCGGAAAAGGTGCCCGTGTTATATATAATATACATGAAAATAGATGCCATTCTATGCTATTGTAGCAAGGCACAACACTGCATATATTAATTAAAATTTTAAAATAATAATTAATGATTCTGCACAAAGTCGGTACATCTACGCGATGTTTATTTGCTTTGTGTAAAGGAGAATGCACTAATTTCGTTGTTTTTGTAATCAATAAGACATTGAAATGACTCTTTATTTCTATGGTGCTACCAAATTAAAATGTTTTCTTAACGATAAACACCTATGTTGCTCACGTTAATGTTTTCGTTGATAAACAAGGCTTTTTGATAAGCTTCTAATACAATGCTGATGTCGATTTGACAATGAAGGTATGTTACGGTCTTGTTAGCATTGTGTCTGACATGATCGCCGTATGAATTGACGAAGGCGTGATAATTGACAGTTTACTAACAGATGTCAATTACATCTATAGTTAATTTTTCCAATTCAAAATTAAAAAACTAATGTTACAGAGTATCACAACCGATCAATCTTGTCAATTTGTCTGAGAAAAATGGTGAACAATTGTTTAGATTGCATGCCTTTACGAATGTAATTGTGAACATTTCGAAGATAAATAGCAGTCACATCGAATAACGTCGGTAATGCAGACTCAACATAGAACCCAGATGGCAATAAGAAAATGTCTATACATTTTTATCGCAAGTACATAAAAAGATTTAGCAATTTGTAGCTGATGGGATTCTCCATTGTCGTACCAGTCTAGAATGCTTCGACCAGGTATGATAGTTATAAAACGTGCATGACTTCAGATGAAACATGATTATGTTCCTCCGGCATGTCAGCTCTTCATTCCCCCGGCATTTCAGCTCTTCATTCCTCCGGCATGTGAGCTTTTTATTCCTCCGGCATGTGAGCTCTTCATTCCTCCGGCATGTGAGCTCTTCATTCCTCCGGCATGTGAGCTCTTCATTCCTCCTACATGTTAACTCTTCATATCTCCAGCATGTCAGCTCTTCATTCCTCCGGCATGTCATCTCTTCATTCCTCCGGCATGTCAGCTCTTCATTCCTCCGGCATGTCAGCTCTTCATTCCTCCGGCATGTCAGCTCTTCATTCCTCCTACATGTCAGCTCTTCATTCCTCCGGCATGTCAGCTCTTCATTCCTCCGGCATGTCAGCTCTTCATTCCTCCTACATGTCAGCTCTTCATTCCTCCGGCATGTCAGCTCTTCATTCCTCCGGCATGTCAGCTCTTCATTCCTCCGGCATGTCAGCTCTTCATTCCTCCTACATGTCAGCTCTTCATTCCTCCGGCATGTCAGCTCTTCATTCCTCCTACATGTCAGCTCTTCATTCCTCCTACATGTCAGCTCTTCATTCCTCCGGCATGTCAGCTCTTCATTCCTCCTACATGTCAGCTCTTCATTCCTCCTACATGTCAGCTCTTCATTCCTCAGGCATGTCAGCTCTTCATTTCTCCGGCATGTCAGCTCTTCATTCCTCCTACATGTTAGCTCTTCATTCGTCCTTAGCAAAGTATTACCTGACAACTTGTCGTAATATAGCATATTTTCAATCTAGACAAGCACAGTCAAACGGCTGACAAATCACATGTTGTGTATCCTATAGATGTTAATGTTTTGAACCACCAATACAAATAACACTTAACAAACACACACCATTTTCCGTGCGGTGAGTTGCTAACTGTCTATCCGTTAAACATTGGAGTGTTAAGCTTTTAAGGATTAAACATTGAATTAGGAAATAAAAGAATAAATAAATGAATAAATAAAGCTGTTTGGGATATTGTTATGTTCATGTATACACAGTAGAGATGAGTAAAACTTTTCAGTGATTGACTCTTTATTACATTAAGAAGAAACACATCAACACATGTTACATAAGAAGACACTCTGCATCAACATGTCGGCTGTAGCCACTGCAGTACATGGTCCTGTCGGGTTTTCGTACATTATCAGCATAATAATCATTAAATAAATGAGACTCTCATCCTTGGTTCTCAATTTGAGGACGTAGAACTACACGGTGAGTGTTCGCAATATAACAGAGAACGCTTGCTCTTCTGACACACATGTTGTTGGTTTTTTTTCTTTTTTTTTTACTTTTTCAGTGTCTTCCGCGTGAAGGATAATCTTTCATTATTCAGTTATTTTTGTGTTTGTGTTTATACATATATGGAAATATTAGACAGTTGGTCTTTCTTTTTTACATATGTTATATACAATGTACTGGAATAATACTGTACACGGGAACTTTTGAAGCAGTTTAACGTTTGCTTTTTTCGCCCTGCGTAATAAAAGTGAATTTATCAAGACAAGATCTATTAGTACACAACTTATCACTTGTCGTAATTATATGTGGACTGAATTTCTTTGTGATGGGCTACAATTTGACTGGGCGAAAGTCCCCTGCTGTATAGCATCTGATATGTCAAACACATCGTTCACAAATGAGATGATATTATATTGTAACTTACTTTAGCAAAATTATTATTTTCATATTCAGAGTTACAACATTAGTATTTTATCTAATGTAAGTAATACAACGTATATAACAAAGAACACCTTTTATCACATTCATGTCGGACGTATAATATTATATAATATAACAATTATGAAACAAGTTATTTTATAATACCTTTTTTTTCACAGACAAAAACATATACATGTTATCGTAATACATAGTAGTACAGTTACATGTGTACATAAACACAAACATGCCTGCATGTATGCACTCATACTTATCATACATATATAACATAATACATACATACATACATACATACATACATACATACATACATACATACATACATACATACATACATACATACATACATACATACATACATACATACATACATAAATACATACATACATACTTTCATACGCATGTACACATATTGCACATACATGCATACATACAAACATACATATGCACGCACGCAGATATATATGCACCCACACACATACATAGTTTACATGCATACGCACATACACATCTCCACATGCACGCACAAAGGAACCACGTACATACAAACACATGTGCATAGTATAATATTATATAATATAAAATTTATTTGTTTTACAACAATTAAAAAACAAATTATTTCAACTTCTTGTTGGCCCAGATGTTAGCGCGCGGGGGTTCTTAATGTGGGAGGAAACCGGGGTACCCGGATAAAACCCTTAAATTTTTCTCGTCCGATCAGGGAAACGAACCCCGGCCGCGTTGGTGAAAGGCAAGTGCGCTATCCACTGCGCCACCCGATCATTTGGATGCAAATAAAAAAAACAAGTTCTAAACTTGTAGCTCTATTTGATTCTTTGGTAACATGACGTTGTATTTCCCCTTTCCGTGTCGACTTGTTCGCCATTTTATTCGGAAAACAATTGTTCTGACATATTTATAACATAGCATTCTTCAGAAAATATTACATAGCAATACCACTCGTAGTTTTATCCAACAAAGCAGATGCTGTTTTGTTTTTGTTGCTTTTTGTTGTTTTTGTTTTTGCATACTTTGTATATTTTTCTTTTGTGTTTGCATTTGTTGATTGTGCATACTGCTCTAAACAGGTAGAGATCAATAACGCGTAATCTCACATAACCAATTAGTGTCTATGCGTAACGTCACTCGTAATCACGACGTATCAGTGGACTGGTTGTGATATATAACCTTTCTACTGTTCGTGAAACCGGTAATATTATTCTTCTGAGAATTTACTAAAGACAATGCCAGTTCCACAAAAACCCATGATAATAAACAAAATGCAGGTGATTCTGTCCACAACCTTAGAAAGAGACTTCCAGTGTTCTGCTGTCACGTTTATGTACGGTTGGACTTTAGGTATTGGCTCATCCTGTTCTGTGCCCACTTTCGCTGTTCCTGACCTCACCTGTATTCTTCTTGTACTTCCATTTGCTATGTGTTCGGGAGAAGAAGATTCAGGCTGAAAAGTAGGAAATTGGATTTAAAACATCAGTATCAAGCAATATTTTTAGAATAGAAGCATATCTCCATTGATTAATACAAGTAGAACCTCTTTGTTATATTTTCCCCAGCGATATGATTCTTTTATATGCATAGACTGCACAAGTTATTGCATTTCCTAAATTTGTATCTTTCTTGATATCGATATGGCTCGGTCGCTAAAGTGTACAATTAAGTATATTTTGAAACACAAGTCCTTTAAAACTGCATGAGCATACGTACCGATTATCGAAAGCAAATCATATAGTAAGATATTTTCTTGTCGTGCAATAATTTTAGTTGATTTACCCGAGTCGAATCCTTTACATAATCGTCTAGCTCCGGCACATATACCCAGGTAGCTTTAGCTAAGGTACCGAGGAATATCCTGACGACCCAACGGTGCATAACAACCGCTGACTGATAGTAGATAGACAAAACTACTACCGCCATCACACAGGCAAATCCGACGAGGAATAGACAGAAATTGAAGTAGATTGCTGCAAATGAACATAAAAGATTAAACATATTTGCAAAACACCAGCAACTACAAGATATACATAAAACATGGAAGTAAATAGCCGTTATAAAGCAACCGAGAGACTCAAAAAGAATATTCCATATTGATCATCTGATTTGGCACAAAAAAGAACCAAATATAACAATCACAGGGTTTTCTTGGTATGGAAACTTACAAATGAGAGGGGTAGCCTCTGATGAAAAGATACAGAGTCTGCCACCAGTAACTGGATGCTTACCAATAAGAGGGGTAGCGTCTGCTGAAGATAGTAGAGAGTCTGCTACCAGTAACTGAATACTTACCAATAAGAGGGGTACCGTCTGATCAAGGGGGTGGAAAGTCTGTCACCGTGAACTGGATATTTACCAATAGGAGGGGTAGAGTCTGCTGAAGGGATGTAAGGAATCTGTCAACAGTAACTGGAAACTTACCAATAGGAGTGGTAGCGTCTGCTGAAGGGGGTAGAAAGTCTGCCACCAGTAACTGGATACTTACCAATAAGAGGGGTAGCGTCTGATGAAGAGGGTAGAGAGTCTGTCACAAGTAACTGGAAACTTACCAAGAAGAGGGGTAGCTTCTGATAAAGGTGGTAGAGAGTCTTCTGCCACTGTTAACTGGATACTTACCAATAAGAGGGGTAGCGTCTGCTGAAGGGGTGTAGGGAATCTGTCACCAGTTACTGGAAACTTACCAATAAGAGGGGTAGCTTCTGATAAAGGTGGTAGAGAGTCTGCCACCAGTAACTGGATACTTACCAATAAGAGGGGTAACGTCTGATGAAGAGGATAGAGAGTCTGTCACCAGTTACTTGAAACTTACCAATAAGAGGGGTAGCTTCTGATAAAGGTGGTAGAGAGTCTTCTGCCACCGTTAACTGGATACTCACCAATAAGAGGGGTAGCGTATGATGAAGTGGTGTAGGGAATCTACCAACAGTAACTGGAAACTTAACAATAAGAGGGGTAGCTTCTGATAAAGGTGGTAGAGAGTCTTCTGCCACTGTTAACTGGATACTCACCAATAAGAGGGGTAGCGTATGATGAAGTGGTGTAGGGAATCTACCAATAGTAACTGGAAACTTAACAATAAGAGGGGTAGCTTCTGATAAAGGTGGTAGAGAGCCTTCTGCCACTGTTAACTGGATACTCACCAATAAGAGGGGTAGCGTATGATGAAGTGGTGTAGGGAATCTACCAACAGTAACTGGAAACTTAACAATAAGAGGGGTAGCTTCTGATAAAGGTGGTAGAGAGTCTTCTGCCACTGTTAACTGGATACTCACCAATAAGAGGGGTAGCGTATGATGAAGTGGTGTAGGGAATGTACCAACAGTAACTGGAAACTTAACAATAAGAGGGGTAGCTTCTGATAAAGGTGGTAGAGAGCCTTCTGCCACCGTTAACTGGATACTCACCAATAAGAGGGGTAGCGTATGATGAAGTGGTGTAGGGAATCTACCAACAGTAACTGGAAACTTAACAATAAGAGGGGTAGCTTCTGATAAAGGTGGTAGAGAGTCTGCCACCAGTAACTGGATACTTACCAATAAGAGGGGTAGCGTCTGATGAAGAGGGTAGACAGTCTGCCACCAACAACTGGATACTTACCAATATGAGAAGTAGCGGCTGAAGAAGGTGTTAGAGAGTCTGCCACCAGGAACTGGATACTTACCAATAAGAGGGGTAGCCGCTGATGAAGGTGTTAGAGAGTCTGCCACCAGTAACTGGATACTTACTAATAAGAGGGGTAGCGTCTGATGAAGAGGGTAGAGAGTCTGCAACCAACAACTGGATACTTACCAATATGAGGAGTAGCGTCTGATGAAGGTGTTAGAGAGTCTGCCACCAGTAACTGGATACTTACCAATAAGAGGGGTAGCGTCTGCTGAAGGGGAGTAGGGAATCTGTCACCTGTAACTTGAAACTTACCAATAAGAGGGGAAGCGTCTGCTGAATGGGGTAGAGAGTCTGCCACCTGTAACTGGATACTTACCAATAAGAGGGGTAACGTCTGATGAAGAGGATAGAGAGTCTGTCACCAGTAACTGGAAACTTACCAATAAGAGGGGTAGCTTCTGATAAAGGTGGTAGAGAGTCTTCTGCCACCGTTTACTGGATACTTACCAATAAGAGGGGCAGCGTCTGATGAAGAAGATAGTGAGTCAGTCACCAGTAACTGGACATTTACCAATAAGAGGGGTAGCGTCTGATGAAGAGGAAAGAGAGTCTGTCACCAGTAACTGGAAACTTACCAATAAGAAGGGTAGCGTCTGCTGAAGGGGGTAGAGAGTCTGCCACCAGTAACTGGATACTTACTAATAAGAGGGGTAGCGTCTGATGAAGAGGGTAGAGAGTCTGCCACCAACAACTGGATACTTACCAATATGAGAAGTAGCGGCTGATGAAGGTGTTAGAGAGTCTGCCACCAGTAACTGGATACTTACCAATAAGAGGGGTAGCCGCTGATGAAGGTGTTAGAGAGTCTGCCACCAGTAACTGGATACTTAGTAATAGGAGGGGTAGCGTCTGACCAAGGGGGTAGAGAGTCTGCCACCGTAAACTGTATACTTACCAATAAGAGGGGTAGCTTCTGATGAAGCGGGTAGAGAGTCTGCTTCCATTAACTGGATACTTACTAATAAGAGGGGTAGCGTCTGATGAAGGGGATATAGAGTCTGCCACCAGTAACTGGATACTTACCAATAAGAGGGGTAGCGTCTGATGAAGAGGGTAGAGAGTCTGCCACCAACAACTGGATACTTACCAATATGAGAAGTAGCGGCTGATGAAGGTGTTAGAGAGTCTGCCACCAGGAACTGGATACTTACCAATAAGAGGGGTAGCGTCTGATAAAGGGGATAGAGAGTGTGCCTCCGTAAACTGTATACTTACCAATAAGAGGGGTAGCTTCTGATGAAGCGGGTAGAGAGTCTGCCACCAGTAACTCGATACTTACCAATAAGAGCGGTAGCGTCTGATCAAGGGGGTAGAGAGCCTGCCACCAGTAACTGGATACTTACCAATAGTAGGGGTAGCGTCTGATAAAGGGGATAGAGAGTCTGCTTTCAGTAATTGGATACTTACCAATAAGAGGAGTACCTTCTGATGAAGCGGGTAGAGAGTCTTCTGTCACCGTTAACTGAATACTTACCAATAAGAGGGGTAGCGTCTGATGAAGAGGATAGAGAGTCTGCCACCGTAAACTGGATACTTACAAATAAGAGGAGTAGCATCTGATGAAGGGGGTAGGGAGTCTGCCACCAGTAACTGGAATACAGCTAGAGCAAGCATCACCGTAATTTGTAACGAAACCTTTTCTCCTGCTTCAACAGCTAAGAAGAAACCAAGTATCGCCATTCCAGTAATAAGGAAAGTCGGAATTATGATATTTACAACATAGAAAGAAGGTTTGCGTTCCATTGTTAGGTAGTAAGTAACATCAGGGTACGGTTCCGGGCAGCAACCATAATAAACCACATGACGTTCAGCAGTTAATTTCGTGATATTCCATTCAACGTTCAAAACCGACGATGACAGATCTCCATACGGGTTCTTATATACCAGGTCCATTTCCAGGCCGTGGTAGGACCAGGATCCGAACAACATACTACACGTTTGGGTATCGTATGGGAATCTCTCCACGTTCACAATACATCGACTTTGTATGATAGTAGGGAAATTGTAATACACGGAACCATCTGAATGTATGTTCACTCTGTAATCGTCGTAACCCGGAAAGTCATCGGCAGTGCTGTTCATGAAAAAATATTTACATTTTAGATTTTTTCATCAAATAGAGGGTTCTAAATATTTCGTTACAAAGTTTAAAAATATTGTTTACGCCGCGGACTTGTAATTGCGATTGGCATTTAAATGACACTTTCCCTGTAAATGTCAACATCTTACAAACAATTAGGATTTTGTAGATTTTGCGTTATTAATCTAGCATAATGAAAGGTCAATAGAAATGTTCTTATTACATGTTTTTATGCCACCCAAGAGAGGAACTGACATGGAAGCAAAAACAATTTCTGTGTAATGCCAGTCATTGATGTAATTCTAAAGATTATATAAGTTCGATCTCATCTGTTTGTCACATATCAATTACGAGTAAACTAGCATTATCGAGCTAACATGACGTTACATTTAACCTCGTCTACGTTTGTACATCTAGGTCATATCGATGTCGTTATACCACACGCATTCAGATAACTTACCTGTCATACAGGGTTGAACCGGGCACTCAAGTTGTTTTGAACTTACCTATCATACAGGGTCAGGTCGGACACGTACATGCGTTTAAACTTACCTGTCATACAGTGTAAGATCGGATACCTACACGGGGCTTAACGTACATGTTTTACGAGTAAGTTCTGGTACCAACGCGTGTTTTTACTTACCTGTCATATTTAAACGTACCTATCTATCAGGTAAAGATCTGATTCCAACACGTGTTTACCTGTCATACAGGCTAGGATCGGGGCAACCTTTACCTGCTTTAAACTTACTTATCATACAGGGATAGTTAAGATACCTGCACGTATTTCAACATATCAATGTATGTATGGTCGAGCATCTACAAGTATTTCATCATATCGATAAAACAGGGAAGGATCGGCCACTCACATGTTTTTAAACTTACCTTTCATACAGGTAAGATCGGGAACCTACACGTGTTTCGACATGTCATGATCATACAGGTCAGATTGGCCAATAACATGTATTTAAACTTATCTATAACCCAGGGTATGATCCGGCAGTTACATGTGTTAAAGTTATTTAACATACATGTTGAAGTCGGGGACTCACGTGTTTTTAAAGTGTTCTATTATACAGGTAAGATCGGGCACTTACATGTATTTAAACTTTCCTTATGATCGGGCAGCCACACTTGTTTAACCTAACCTATCATGTAGGGTAAAAGGGGCATCTACAGGTGTTGAAACTTATCTGCCATATAGAGTAAGATCGGTCATCTATACGTATTCAATCTTACAGGGTTAGATGGGACACACACAGGCGTTAACACTTACCTGTTATATAGAGTAAGTACAGGGTTAGATGGGACACACAGGCGTTACAACTTACCTGTTATATAGAGTAAGATAGAGCATCTACACGTATTTAGGCTACAGGGTTAGATGGGACAAACATGCATTAAAACTTACCTGTCATATAGAGTGAGATCGGGCATCTACACGTATTTCATCATATCCATCATACAGGGTTAGATGGGACACACACAGGCATTACAGCTTACCTACAGTGTATAATACAGGGTACGATTGGAAACTCACACGTGTATTAACTTACCTATCATACAGAGTAAGATCGGGCACCCACACGTATTTAAACGGTACAGCAATGTTGCCAAGGTCACCAAATTCAGCCGGGTTCCAGGTCAATTGACAATCTGTCCAAAACTGCACATCAAGAAAATTCAAACAATTACAGAAAACAAGTACAGATACCAATAAACTACGAATATGAGTCTTTGCAGTTTTATCCACTGTAACGTTAATTTCTGTAGAGGTATAAAAGTTAGCCCTTAGGGCTTAGTGTTTGAAACAGTATCGTACAGACTTACACTGAAGTGGTGGCTATGAAAGAAATCACCTGATCTGACATTAGGTATTCCGAGATATTATACTGTATAACTAACAGTACTTATACGTACCATTCTAATCCATAGATTCAGGGTTATAATCTGGGAAGGTTCATCCTGTAATAACAACAAGAACTGTCAACAAATTGTTCGATTTTTTTTTTATTGAATTGCTATATGAAAAACTTAATACTTTAATGTAAACAAAAACCATACTTCAGACTCGACATTGTTGAAACTGGGAGAGAATAAAAACAATGAAGATATTTAAACGAATGCATTCAAAAAGTATAAGAAAAGTAGACATGGTTTTCTTGACTGGTAACAATCTTCTATTTATCAACGACATCTGTCATGGAAATCAAGTACAAATCATAGCAATGTAAAGTCTACAAAACGAAGTAACAAACCATGCAGCGATGACAACATAACAAGCCATGCTAGTAATCGTAATATGAATACGTCGATATTTATAACGCAAGTCACGGCGACAATACAACGTTTATGTAGTCTTCATCAACCAGCATCACTCGCATTATATGTGTTAGTTTGTCTGTAAGTATGGGACATCTATGACGAATTATATGTGTTAGTTTCTCTGTAAGTATCGGACATCTATTACGAATTATATGTGTTAGTTTGTCTGTGAGTATCGGACATCTATGACGAATTATATGTATTAATTTGTCTGTAAGTATCGGACATCTATGACGGATTATATGTATTAGTTTGTCTGTAAGTATCGGACATATATGACGAATGATATGTGTTAGTTTGTCTGTAAGTATCAGATATCAATGACGAATTATATGTGTTAGTTTGTCTGTGAGTATCGGATATCTATGACGAATTATATGTGTTAGTTTATCTGGAAGAATAGGACATCTATGACAAATTATATGTGTTAGTTTATCTTGCTAGTAATCGTAATATGAATACGTCGATATTTATAACGCAAGTCACGGCGACAATACAACTTTCATGTAGTTTTCATCAACAAGCATCACTCGCATTATATGTGTTAGTTTGTCTGTGAGTATCGGATATCTATGACGAATTATATGTGTTAGTTTCTCTGTAAGTATCGGACATCTATTACGAATTATATGTGTTAGTTTGTCTGTGAGTATCGGACATCTATGACGAATTATAGGTGTTAGTTTGTCTGTAAGTATCGGACATCAATGACGAATTATATGTGTTAGTTTGTCTTTAAGTATCGGACATCTATGACGAATTATATATATTAGTTTGTAAGTAAATATTTGTGTTAGTTTGTCTGTAAGTATCGGATATCTATGACGCATTATATGTATTAGTTTGTCTGTAAGTATCGGACATATATGACGAATTATATGTGTTAGTTTGTAAGTATCGGACATTAATGACGAATTATATGTGTAAGTTTGTCTGTAAGTATAGTATCGGACATCTATGACGAAATTATATGAGTTAGTTTGTCTGCAAGTATCGGACATCTATGACAAATTATATGTGTTAGTTTATCTTGCTAGTAATCGTAATATGAATACGTCGATATTTATAACGCAAGTCACGGCGACAATACAACGTTTATGTAGTCTTCATCAACCAGCATCACTCGCATTATATGTGTTAGTGTGTCTGTAAGTATCGGATATCTATGACGCATTATATGTATTAGTTTGTCTGTAAGTATCGGATATCTATGACGAATTATATGCGTTAGTTTGTCTGTAAGTATCGGACATCTCTGACGAATTATATGTGTTAGTTTGTCTGTATGTATCGGACATCTATGACGAATTATATGTCTTAGTTTGTCTGTAAGTATCGGACATCAATGACGAATTATATGTATTAGTTTGTCTGTAAGTATCGGACATTTATGACGAATTATATGTGTTAGTTTGTAAGTATCGGACATTTATGACGAAATACTTGTGTTAGTGTGTCTGTAAGTATCGGATATCTATGACGAATTATATGTGTTAGTTTATCTGGAAGAATAGGACATCTATGACAAATTATATGTGTTAGTTTATCTTGCTAGTAATCGTAATATGAATACGTCGATATTTATAACGCAAGTCACGGCGACAATACAACTTTCATGTAGTTTTCATCAACAAGCATCACTCGCATTATATGTGTTAGTTTGTCTGTGAGTATCGGACATCTATGACTAATTATATGTGTTAGTTTGTCTGTAAGAATCGGACATCTATGACGAATTATATGTCTTAGTTTGTCTGTAAGTATCGGACATCTCTGACGAATTATATGTGTTAGTTTGTCTGTGAGTATCGGACATCTATGACGAATTATACGTGTTAGTTTGTTTGTAAGTATCGGACATCTATTACGAATTATATGTGTTAGTTTGTCTGTGAGTATCGGATATCTATGACGAATTATATGTGTTAGTTTGTAAGTATCGGACATTAATGACGAATTATATGTGTAAGTTTGTCTGTAAGTATAGTATCGGACATCTATGACGAAATTATATGTGTTAGTTTGTAAGTATCGGACATTTATGACGAAATACTTGTGTTAGTGTGTCTGTAAGTATCGGACATCTATGACAAATTATATGTGTTAGTTTATCTTGCTAGTAATCGTAATATGAATACGTCGATATTTATAACGCAAGTCACGGCGACAATACAACTTTCATGTAGTTTTCATCAACAAGCATCACTCGCATTATATGTGTTAGTGTGTCTGTAAGTATCGGATATCTATGACGAATTATATGTGTTAGTTTATCTGGAAGAATAGGACATCTATGACAAATTATATGTGTTAGTTTATCTTGCTAGTAATCGTAATATGAATACGTCGATATTTATAACGCAAGTCACGGCGACAATACAACCTTCATGTAGTTTTCATCAACCAGCATCACTCGCATTATATGTGTTAGTGTGTCTGTAAGTATCGGATATCTATGACGCATTATATGTATTAGTTTGTCTGTAAGTATCGGACCTCTATGACGAATTATATGTGTTAGTTTCTCTGTAAGTATCGGACATCTATTACGAATTATATGTGTTAGTTTGTCTGTGAGTATCGGACATCTATGACGAATTATAGGTGTTAGTTTGTCTGTAAGTATCGGACATCAATGACGAATTATATGTATTAGTTTGTCTGTAAGTATCGGACATCAATGACGAATTATATGTGTTAGTTTGTCTGTGAGTATCGGATATCTATGACGAATTATATGTGTTAGTTTATCTGGAAGAATAGGACATCTATGACAAATTATATGTGTTAGTTTATCTTGCTAGTAATCGTAATATGAATACGTCGATATTTATAACGCAAGTCACGGCGACAATACAACGTTTATGTAGTCTTCATCAACCAGCATCACTCGCATTATATGTGTTAGTGTGTCTGTAAGTATCGGACATCTATGACGAGTTATATGTGTTAGTTTGTCTGTAAGTATTGGACATCTATGACGAAATTATATGAGTTAGTTTGTCTGCAAGTATCGGACATCTATGACAAATTATATGTGTTAGTCTATCTGTAAGTATCGGACATCTATGACGGGTTATATGTGTTAGTTTGTCTGTAAGTATGGGACATCTATGACGAATTATATGTGTTATTTTGTCTGTAAGTATCGGACATCTATGACGAGTTATATGTGTTAGTTTATCTGTAAGTATCGGCCATCTATGACGAGTTATATGTGTTAGTTTATCTGTAAGTATCGGCCATCTATGACGAATTATATGTGTTAGTTTCTCTGTAAGTATCGGACATCTATGACGAGTTATATGTGTTAGTTTGTCTGTAAGTATCGGACATCTATGACGAAATTATATGAGTTAGTTTGTCTGTAAGTATCGGACATCTATGACGAATTATATGTGTTAGTTTGTAAGTATCAGATATTTATGACGATTTATATGTGTTAGTTTGTCTGTAAGTATCGGACATCTATGACGAA